TTTGTCGGCGGATTTTTCCACGTTTATTGTCGGAGGTTTCAGTGGCGGGGCCCAGAAACTAGAATAGCTGGATGCCAGTCTTGAGAATGTTCAAGTACTCAGCCATACTCAGCCCCAAGAAACTACACACCGGAAGCCCAAACGTAGAGTGCAAGCCTTCTTCTGCTCTTGCTTGGAGCTCTTCGTCTTGACCTTGTCGGTTCAGGGTTTGGGGTATTGTTCGTTTGGGCGTTTGGATGTCGAACATGTTGGCGAAGTTAGGCTTAAACCGAACTCAAGCTGGTAGATCACTTTGAGCTCGTGGCTTGGAGATTGTGGCTTCTGTACTCAACCATGCTATACAGTGTAGGTTCATGAGAACCGTACTGTACTGTATTGTAGATTGTCATAAATTTTTATACATTTTCTATCTACCAAGCCTACCAAGAAATCGGAATGTGTGACGGCCCGCTTCGGCTTCCTGTACTTGACAAATATAGGGGTCCTTTTGGTTAGGATAGGGCTTTGAGGTATATACAAGAGAACTACAAGGGGCCATTATTGGCAATTACGGGGTTTTGAAGTACACAAGAAGAAAAAGTATGCTTCATGTCTCATAATGGTTCCTCTATAAGGACCAGGTCCCCAAAATAGTATGAGAGTATAGTGCTCCAGAACCCAGCTACAAGGGAACTACAAGCGGACGATGTTGGTACATATGTCGACCCCTATGGTTCGGGGTCACTTGAGGAATGTCCCAAGTAATTAATCTTAAGCACAGCTTAAAGGATTTCGGCTTTGGGGGTGTCAAGCTGGTTTCCGTGCCTAGCCTGTTTTTTGAATACTTTAGAGGGTCTGGGTAGGGGGGGACGTGAATCCACCCTTAACTACCTAGGGTTTTGTCGGATGTACAGGGTTTCAAAACTTAATGAAAGGGTATTGGTCTCTCTGAGGAGTAACCTACGAGCGCAAACAGGGCCTAAACCCTAAAGCCCCAACCGTTCCGGCCCATTGCCTTGATAAACAGTGTTCTGGTCTACTGCTCTGAACACTTTGGTGAAAATGCCCGAAGTCCGCTCCCTAAGGCTCCATGTACCCATATAGTATATACTTAGGCCTTAAAGTACCTGTATAGCGACCCCATTCAGGCTTAAGTATCTACTACAAAGGTACCTGGAGCCTTTGGGGCTACAACCCTAAAGACCCACGCCCCAACTCTGAGCCCTTAACAAAACTCTGATGTCACTGCCTTGAGCTCCTTCTTCTCCTCTTTCAGCTCCTGCTTCTCTTCGACTTTCCGTTGCCTCCGGCACTGTATTGATTCAGTGTGTTGTAATTCAACAGGGCTTCAAGGTTTGGGTTCAGGTATTTATGACCTCTGCTTATAGCTAAAGATCATCTGTGTTGGGGTTCGTTGTTTTCGGAAACTCCCCAGTGACAGACCAAAACACGAATACAAAAACTACGAAAGGCCAGCCCATTGTGGGAATACGATCTGTTGCATTTGTCAGGAGTTTCGACACGAAAACCCATAAACACTAAATCCAATCTCGTCGTTCAGGGTGTCATATAGGGGCCCTAACTAGCATAGGGTATGGTGGGATTCTATGTTACGGTTGTAATCAGGAACCCCGAAAATAGTGTTGGCAATTGTTTGCCCCTGCATGAGTGGGTTTGGACAACCATACGCATAACCCCATGACATCCCGGCACCCAGCCGAAGATTCTGACACTTCGGGGACCGAGTCCGAGTGGAGCAGCCATCTGGACCAGCAGAACGCCACTTTCGCCAAAACGACGGTCGAAGGAACGTTGTGATCTTCAAGCGTTGGTGCGTAAAGAATACTTGGTTGTCCCGGCCTGTGTCGGGTGACCATCCCGTCGGCAATGGATCCTCAGCTGCGTTTCCAAAGAGGCCACAACGGACTCTGCTCTTGGCTCAGAGCTCAGGCTTTGGATCTAACCTAAGGCTTCAAGATTTGGAAGTATGGGCCCTTGCTATGGAAAGCTCGCCCTTTTGGGGGATGCTAGGAGCCCTCTAGGGCATACAGTAGAAGCCAGAAAGTTGGAGCATCAATACCCTCATGGCCTTAAAGGTAGAGTATAAGGGATCCCAGCACTAATCATCCTAAACCCATGTTCCAACTTTCGGGAGTTCACTATATATAGTAGGTATAGTAGGGATCCCATGGTGAAGGGCTCATAGTAGGGGCCCTTAGATCCGGGATAAGGCCCTAGGATAGGGCTTCGGGTTTAGGGTGTGGGGTTTAGGGGTAGGGTTCAGGCGTTTAGGGCTTAGCGTTGAAGAGGAATCCCTATAGATCCCTTTAAAGGGACCCTGAAAGGAACCTCCAAGCAGGGCCTCTTTGGACTTCCTTTCACCGGCGCCGACTCTTCCTTGATGTCGGCGGCGTACTCAAAATGATGGTTCACCTTGAGGGTTTAGTAAGGGTTGAGGGTTCAGGGTTAGGGAACTAAGTTACCGAAATCAGCTTAGGGTCTGAGGTTTAGGGTTGAGGATTTAAGTGTTAAGGCTTGCTTGGAGGGTCGGGGGACTTAGTAAGTAGGTAGTAAGAAGACTTAGAAGCACCCGAAAAGGGATCCCTACTTGGGGTTATTGCACTTAAAAGTCCCTAAAATCATCAGTTACTAAGTCCCCCGACCCTCCAGCGAGGGTTTAGAGTAGAGTTCCTGTTTCAAGGGATCCTCAAAGCGGTCTATAAGGGATCTAGGGATCTATAGTAAGGTTCTAAATTAATTAGTTCACCCTGAGGGTTTAATAGTACGGGCCTTAATAACTAGAATAGGGGTTCCCTTAAAGGGATCCCTGAAAGGGTTCTATAAGGGATCTAACAGGGCCTTAATAATTGGACGAGGGTTTTGGCGTACCATGGCTTATGAATATATATATATATATATATATATATATATATATATGTAATAAGCAACCCTAAGAATATTATCGGTAATTATTTGCAATTATTTAGGCTTCTAGATTAGGCTTTGGGGTTCGGGGCTTCACCTTTTGGCTTGTGTATCGTTGGGACCTAAGATGGGGGGATACGTCCCCTGATTCCTATGACAGAAATCCGAACTTTTACTATGTAGGAACCGAGGATCGAGACAGGGGTTGGACATTCAGGGTTTGGGGTTTAGGGTTTAGGGTTTGGGGTGAAAGCGGGTTTGGGCTTTGACCTTCTTTAGCTGTACCAGGGGTCTGGAAGCTGTTTTGGAGGGGCTCAGGACTTAGGATGTAGTTGGCTCAGGCTTTGCTCTTCTTCTTCGAGGGCGAGAGGTGGTGTTTATCCTGTCACTAAGATTCTGCATCTCTTTGCTGAGGTCTTATCTCACAGCTTGGTCTTCTGTGTGTGTGTGTGTGTGTGAGAGTTTGTGGGTGCGTGTTTGTTTCTGTTTGCCGTTCCGGCTCTGGGAGTGCCAAAGGATCCTCAGTACCTACCGTATCTAGAAGAAGCTAGGGCTTCTGCAATTTGGATATACCAGTATGGTCTCCCCCATCTAGAGACTTAAGACTCTCACTTAACTTAAGATATGTTGGGACTCTAGTGGTTCAGGGGTTCGTTAGTTTAGGAATGTCTAGGACCTTTGCGGACATGCTTCGCTGGTGATCTTCCCTCTGGTGTGATGGTAAGGAGAGAGCCAGCCTAACATAGGGACCTCAGTAATTAGAATGTGGTTTTTGGGGCCATTGTACTATAATCATAATAAAGAACCCCCCAAAATGGTAGTGGTAATAATTTAGGCCCCTATTAGCCGACCATTATTAACATACTCACAAACCCTGAACCTGGACCCCTGTCACATAACTTCACTAATTACAAGAGGAATGCCATCAAGACCAACTCCTGAACTGCACACCCCTTAGCCCTAAACTCCTTAACCCCTTAACCCCGAGCCCTTACTGTCCCATCTACGAGGACACAGTCGCGTGCGTCGTCAACTGTAGCATTTGAGTCCTCTCCACGCCCAGAAGCTGCTGCCTTGAGGCTGTCACCAGTTCTTGAGGCGTTAGGGTTTTACGGTTCAAGGTTTGGGATTAGGCTTTTCTGACTTGGGTTCAAGCACAATCCAGGGCGTTGGGAGCTTAGGGTTCAAGATGCGTTAGGGTGACAAAATCTTTAACTTTAACCAGCCGACGGAACCGAAAGAGAGTAAGGATAAGTGGGTGGAAGATTCGGGTGCTGTAATTTCCCTAAGCCTAGACTGGTGCTTACTGTTTCCCTTCCTGAGTCTACCTCTCATGCTGTGAATACGGTTATGCATGTGTCCACTAGCATAATATTGCATTCAATTACGGACTGTTCGGTGATACTCCTTCTTCGTCTACCATACAACCACATCATACAGCCTCATTGTGTAATTCCTAGCATACTGTACCGGCTGGGATGCTCTAAATTGCACTCCTATTGTTAATTTTGCTAATATCTGAACCGAGCCTGCTGCATACACTTGTAGCCTTGTAGCTGACTCTTCATATTGCTTGCTCCCAGTAAGTCAACCGTTCAACATACCGGTCTAGTCTGCGCTAGAGTCGTACATGTAAACATATGCGGGTGTGGCCGTGAGGTGCGAGCCGAAGAACCTCTGTCAAGAGATGCTCCGCTGTAAACAAGCTCTTGCGAGAGAAGCCCGACACGGAATCCCTTTATCGTAGCAGCGCGGATTCGGGGGTTAGAGGCGGCTTTGGGAGTGTTCCCTTGAACGTGCAGCAGAGCTACAGTTTTGCATCGCAGACGATCTCCTTCTTGTTGGATGGATCCAATAGATCGTTGTCCTCCACGGCTGGTGTGGACTACAGGTTTACAGCACACTAGAGATGAAGGCCTGGTTGCTCTCAGAAAGCTCATGTAGAAACTCTTTAAGCGCCCCTGCTCTCGGGTTCAGCCGAAAGGGTACTAAGTACCTAGATGGTAGAAAGTAGGTTTCTATGTATAGTAGAGACTACTATCATGGTTTGCACAAGTCTCCCCTGTATAGGTACTTAGGACCCGTCGGGAGGTGGTACTTAGACCCCTTGCAAGGGGTCTAGAGTCTAAGTCTTGCAACCCATGGGTCATAAAACCCAAACCAAGCTTCTTGACCGAACCTGCAGACTCCAAGCTGCAGGGTTGAGGGTTGGGTTTAGGGTTTAAGGTTCCAGTGGTATTGGGTTTAGGGATGTGGGTTTAGGGTTTCTGTGGTGTCCCAGCCACAAGTTGCTTCTGGAGCTGGGTTTGGGTTGGACAAGACACCCTGGACACAACCATAAACTCGAAAGCCTAAAATTTAAAACCCTGAACCCTAAACTTTCAACCCGACTTTTACAAACCCAAAAACCCAAAACCGTACACAACCTTAAACCCTAAACATCCCTAAACCGTACATGGCCTTGGCCCCAAACCCTCAAGCCTCAACCCTAAACCCCAACCCAAAGCCCTAAACCGTAGACCCTAAACACTGAGTCCTAAACCGCTTAAAGGAACCCTAAAGCCATATAGAAGCCCTAAAAGAACCCTTACAGGAACCCTTAACAGTTTAACAAGGATACCCAGTAACCTAGGAATAAAAGGGCTCCGGTTTTTGGCATTGGGTAAGTGTATAAGGAACCTACTGGGCATCCTAGTTAACGGAACCCCCAGCCTTGGCGTAGGCCCATATCTTTTTGATGACTTCTGGGCGCGAAAGGCGAGGCTCGCCAAGAAAGTCAGCCATCTCCTTGATTGGAGGGTCGGGGGGCTTAGTAAGACTTATTATCCACGGGAAAAAGCAGGGACCCTTAATAAGGACCCCTAGGTATATACCCTTAATATAGCTATTATATATCCATTATATGGTCCATTATGGGGTAGGGGTCCCCATTAAGGGTCCCTCCTTGTCCCCTTTGATAGTAAGACTTCTTAGTACCCTAACCGGGACCCTAATCGGGGTTATAAGTTGAGTCAGGGCTTCAAGGTTTAGGGTTTAAGGTTCAGGCGTTCATAAGGTTTGGGTTTGGATTTGAATGGATTTTGGGTCTGGGTCTAGAGTATAAGGCTTTCTTGTTTATATAGTTCGGGATTTCGGGCTTAATCTAACTGCTCTTCCCTCCTTCGATGCTTCTACTGGGCATGTCGGGATTAAGTTTACGGATTATAGGGTTTATACGGCTTTTGTGGGCTCTTGGTTAGGGGCTCTGTCGTGGGGATGCTTATGATTTAGAGTTCTCTTCCCCTAAACCCTACCTCAACCCTAAATCGAGTATGGCTTTCCCTTAGCCCTAAGCCCCAAACATCTTTAACTCTAGACCTCAACAGCAAGTCGGCAGGGCTCGATTACCCTGAATTTCCCAAAACCCTTATGGTACCCTTCAAAGGAACCCTTAAAGGAAGCTCTTAGAGTGAACCCCAGACTGTTGGAATCATGACTTAGGGATGATCGATGCCAGGATTCCTATTCTACCGCACCTGAATGGTATGAGGATAATGATGTTCCAACTTTCTGGCTTCCGCTGTACAGGAACCCCATACTTGGGAGCAAGTCGACAGGGCGCTGGGGTAAGAGTGCGTGACCGGTGGATGGCCTCCCTGCTTGAGTTCCGCCTCTTGGCCGTCACCTCGAGGTTTAGGTTTTAGGGTTAGGGCTTACTTGGAGATTCATGGGACATGGTCATTAACCCTGAGGGTCCATGTTCTCCTATAGTATATACATAGGCCCCAATGTAGTCCCTATATAGATACTTCGGGGTCAAAGCATACTCATATGGATACATGGACCCTTAGGGTAACAGAGGTTACATATAAGGTAAACTATACAGGCTGCGTGGGGAATTGATCTCGATTATGTTGCTGCTCTCCCCACCAGAGCTGTAATGAATATAGGTGTGGCTGGCTTGCACTCTCCACAGACTGGGACCCTGTCTCTCTCACACTTCCACACGTGCAATCCTATGCAGGCAGAACCGGCGGCCGTTCCTTTTGCACTCGCTGCCGGCGGCGGTTCGTCTGTGCACGGGATAGCTCTGATTGCTCAGGATAGAAGACACATATAGCACTTAGCTATGGGCATTGACTTGAGCCAAACGTTGCGTGGGCGGTCACATAGAAAGGTAAGGAGAAGCGATGCGGTGTGCGTAGCACGTCCACAAGCTTACTCCTAGAGTCGAGGGACGCGTAGCGTGCCCCCTTCTCTTGCACTCTACACGGTCTTGCTCACAGCTCTTATAGTGACACCTTAGAACTTGACAAGGCATCGCAGTCCGTTCGCACCCCCCATGAGTTGCGTCTCCGACGCTGCTCACCCGGAAGATGGCACGATAGGACAACAGAAAATGTTCCGCCGCAACGTTGACATTGAAAATCAGAGCTTTGTATCCCAATTAGAAACGTTGTGACACTCATCTACGTCAGTAACGATCCCCTGAAATGGCAAACGAATCAGGCGTCACCGAAGAAAGAAGCATTCGCGATGGCATTCCACGGGCGAAGCTCAGAGGTCACGAACTGAAAGATGATGTGGTTCAAGCATTGTCTCGCCACCATCTTCGCGTTGACGTAGGATCGCGTTCCCAGGGCCGGAGGTTTTCCTCTGGATACTGTTCCCTTTGCTTTCCTTTGTCCTTGCCTTTGTTTCGGCCCTTACTGGCAATGTAGTCATGGTAGGTGTTGGTGTTCCAGCCTCCATGCTGCTCATTTCCAGTTCTCTCACGCCCTTTTGAAGGTCCCTTGGCCGAAGAAGCGCTTGCACGTTCCTCCGTAGTGACAGGCGTGTCCATGATGGAAGTACCACCTGGAGGGAGATACTCAGCGGCCGAGATGTGATGTAGGGCTTCCGTACGTTTGGTCGTCGGATTTTGCTGTCTCTCAGCCTTGGATCTGACCAATCTGTCCATGAAATGCGCAGGCATTTGCACATTGTGGTCCACCAGCAATCCAATGGTCTGGACTGAATGATCGGCATGAGTCAGCAGGATACCGACGGGGTCGATGTACAGGAAGTCCACCGGTCCAGTTGGCGTTGGTCGTAGCACTGAGAATTGTTGGTGTCCTGTCACCATCGGAATCACCTCGCACAGGACGTTCAGGCAACAGAAGTGCATAGCCTTCACATCTTCATCCCTGTTGCTCTTCAAGTACGTAGTAGGGTTGAAGTTGTCCCTGCCAATTCCCATCATGTTGGCTCCCCGTGTAAGCAACGAAAGCATCTGATTCGTCCGGAAGCGCTTCAAAGTGTAAGTCCCGTTGGGATCGTACTGCTTGAGGTTCTCAGGCTCCTTGGCAAAGCGAATGATCTCCTCGTCAGTCACATCCCTGCTCAGACCCGTTTCTCTGTCCACTCCAGCCAAAGATCCCCACTTTCCGAGCACATCATAGCGTTGGCCAAGTGCGAAATTCTCCTTCATCTGGAACAACGGCATAGTCGCCCACTTCGCGAATCCTGACCAAGCCTTGTAGATGGTTCTGCACACCACGAATGCCATATACGAAAGAGCGGCCATGTTGGCGTCAATGCAATGGGTATTTCGCTTTCCTGGGTAGTAGGATGGCTGCATGGCGGTACGTGCGAGTTGTAGTTCAGGATCGATGTTCAAAGACTGGCCGGCGATGAGGACGGGACGTCGTTCCTGTGCAACTGCATCTGGTACTGCGTCATCAAAGTCCTCTCCTGGCTCTGTGTCCATTTCTTCATCAGGTTCCTGTTCTGGATCGTCCTCCGCGACGACAGATGGCTCTGGGATTTCCTCAGGTTCCGCAACGGTCTCTGTCTCCATGGCTTCCTGCTCCTCGACGGTCGCCTCAGGCACTGCTGCTGCCGCAGCTTCCATTGTCTGAGCAATGAAGTCACTGGGGATCTCCGTAGGAGTCTCCCGTTGTGGAGTACCTTGGTAGTATCCGCAAGAAACGAATTGTGACCAGCATGACGTGCATCGGGAGAAGCATGCTGGGACGATGTTGTAGCATGCCGGGCACACCCTCATTCTCCTTCCATCCCCGTCTCTGCGTAGGTCTTCGGGTCGCCAATTCTTGATGACAAACTTGATCCCTTTGTCCATGTAGTGATGCCGAACCGTGTTCTCCCTGTGGGACTCCAGGACAGTCGTAAGGTCTCGAATGATCTGCTCCTTGCTGGTGTCGTGGGGTCCAGGAGGCATCTCGCAAAGCAATTCCATGATCTTGCTTGGTGTTCGGTATCTCTCGAATTCAGGGAGCAAAGGTGATGCATTGTAGTCCAACACCATCTCTTTCTCCAATCGTTCATCGTAGATCTTTTCCACCAGAGCGAAAGAGTGTGTATCTTGAGGATTCGGGACGCAAAACCATACCTCCTTGACGAACTGGAACGGTATCGTTCGGCCAACGATCATGATGCCGCTGTCTGTGATACGTCCATCTTCTCGTGCAAGGTCCTGCGAAGGGACATGGAGGACCGCCAGTGGCATGTGCTTGGCTTGTGGTCCATGTACCCGCATCTTGGTCGTCGCATTCCGGTGATCGAACGGTGCGAATACCCCCCAATAGCTGTGGAGTCTGCCGCCTTGGTTGCCTCGAAATTGGCGCCTATGGTCGAAGTCCCCGTCGGGGTCCTCCGAACCAGGCATGATGCCTTGCGTGACAATGGAATCCAGGTTGCGGCATGCCGTAGCGTGGAACGCGCCTCCAAGACGTTGCAAGAGGGTCATAGATGGAGATATTGCGAACCTGTTCTTGTCCAACTGAAGCAAATTGTTCTGGGGATCGGAGTGTGCAGAGTGACCACTCGTAGCCCGAACTGCCCATGGCTTCACCCAGCCGTTGCAAACGTTCAGGTACCTCTGGCTGTGCCGGCAACGATCATTGTTCTGGATCTCTGTGATCTGGTCAGGAATCGATACCAACATGTTCGAGCCTGCGGATCCAAGAGTCTCCGTGCCGGGGTCCTTCACTCTCACTCCCAGGAACTGCAGCCGAATCTTGGCCTTGTGGCGTCTCGTGGCTGCGAGCATGTTCCCTTGGAACAATAGCTGGAGTCTTTCATTGTACACTCTCTTCCTCTGTTGATCATCGGTCCTTGAGACCGCTTCTGTGATGCGTCTGCTGTCATGGGTCCATAGTTGCTCATGCCTCACCAAATCATCGATCAGCACCCACCCTCCTTCATCACATCGAATGACGCTGCTGAATGCCACTTGGCACCTGTTGTCAAGCCATTCCGAGCCTGGGCGCCTGGCGATTCTGTGACGCAGGTCAGATTGAATGCATGATAGCGCCCAATCCGCGTTCCTTCTTCGATGATGGGTGATGTTGCGAAGGACAACTTCGTTCACGAGGTCCCATCGATTGTGGATGAAGCTTGCACCCTTGGTTGGGATCAGGTCGAGAATCCCGCATCGGATTGGCCTTCCGCCGCCGATGGATTCGTAGCCTGCATTGGTGTAGCCCTGAATAGTATCATCATACTCAAAGCTAGGACGGTCTCCTCGTTGAGGTAGGCGTCGGTCGCGATGGTCCGAAAGCTGCTCAATGAGGTCCACCACCCGCTGACTGTTCTCTGGTCCCATGTCCTGCAGCGGCACACCACAAGCATCATGTAAGCCCCGACGGTTCTCCACATCCGTGCAGAGATTGTGTTTGTTCTCGTAACGGATCAAGACCACATCACCCCGTACGGCATCGCCTCCGCGTCGCGGTCGGGCTTTGGCCTTGGGTCGTCGGTCCGAGGATGCAACACTCACATGGTCTGTGGTGTCAACGTCCATT